AGTGACCCCTCAGAGCCTGGCTGGGCTGGGGGCAGGCAGAACACAAAGGCACTCAGGTGCTCTCCAAAGGCCTCCCTACTCCCCACATTCTGTGCTTTCCCTCCTCCCAGACTCTGGCCTCCCACCAGCCTGCATCCTGGGGCTGCTGTCTGGCATCGGTGAAGCATCGGGGAGGACCACCTGCAGCCTCCTGTCCTTGGACACCCCGGTGGCCCCTCAGGTGGAGGGCCATACGTGAGCAGCTGTCTGTCCCACCTCCTCCTGGCTGCCCTCCGATCTAAGTCCCCTTCCAGCTCTCTCTGCCTGGCAGGGAGGAGCCACTAGAGTTAAGCGGATTTCATGCTATTTTCAAAGTCATTTTCCATGGGAAAAAAAATTTTTTATACTGTTAAACCTACTTTCTGCTGCTTCTCATCTCCCTGAAAGCTTCCTCCTCCCCTTTCATGAGATAAACCTATAATGGGAATATTTAGGAACCTACTAGTGACACACTATATGCACCCTGGGTTGGGGAGGGGAAATCATACTAGAATCTTCCTGCTAGAAGTCTGGCCAGTGAGGTGAGCAGAAAGCGCCCAGGGCCACAGCAGACTCCCATGGCCCACACTCCCCAAGCATTGCTTCTCTGCCTTCCTTAACAACTGCCTTGTGTCAGGGCCCCTGTCCCTCAGCTTCCCATCCTCCCGTGACAACCACCAAACTGGTGTGTTTTACAACCAGCGACCAGCATTATCTAATGAGCAACTGAGGCATTTCCGAGACCCTCAGCAGCCTACATTTCTTAGAGAAGAGGCGGCCCTCGGAAGCTACAAGTCGGGAGGGGGTCAGGATGAGCTATGAGATACCAAAGTCAGCATATGCTTCCTTCTGACCCCTCTGCACTTCTTGTGCATTCCTTATTAAAGCCTCTAGCATATTATGTGAGACCACAGCTGCCCATAAACTGAGACCTTTGCAAGGACAAACGTTGAGGCCAAATGGCTCTGTGTCCTTTGCTTACAGCACAAGCCTCAGCCTATCCTGGGTTGCTGGATAGAAGCCTATGACATCTGCCAGACCCCTTTGGTGAGCAAGGCTGATCCAGCACCTCAGCCACAGATGATTGGACCAGACTTGAGCGGCCTCAGATGTGACCTGGCATGAGAGCTGTGTTCAGAGGAAAGGATGAGGATGGCCTGTACCAATCAAATTCTCTTCCCTGTGATAATCCGGCAGTGTGAAACCATGTGAAACCTGCAATGTTCCTAGAGTCCTGCTGAGATGGAGATGGGGGGGTGGAGAAAACTCTAGGATGACATCTAGCTTTATGGCCAGTTCATCTGATAATATGGCTCTGGCAGCAACCAGGGTGAAAAATACTGAGAGAAGAGCAGGTTGGTAGAGAAGAGGGGAATGAGCCCAGATGGGTGTTTGGTGAGATTAAGGTGAGGATAGAGTATTCAGTAGGAGTAGTTGAAATATGAGATGAATGCTCAGAGCCCAAGAGCCACCCAAGGGCCTGAGTGCTGGACTTCAGAAATATTTGAGGAGCAACTTCATGCATCAAGGTAGACAAGATACTCTCCACCAAAATACAGGACCCCTGGTGGGGAAGGTATAGCTCAGTGGTAAAGTACATGCTAGGCATGCACGAGGTCCTGGGTTCAATCCCCAGTACCTCCATTAAAAATAAATAAACCTAATCATGCCCCCCAAACAAACAAACAAAAACCAAAACACCGGACCCCTGCCCCCAGGGGATAAATACATGGATATTTAATTTTTTTTAATTATTCATGTTTCACTTGATTTCTTTTTTAGGGTGAAGATTTTATATTCAAAATTTTAGAGCCTATTGTTAGCTTATAACAGTACAGAATGTGAAAAGCTAATCTCATAAAATGTTTTCCCCCTTTATTCAAACATTGTTCATTTCTTTCCACATTTGCATCTGAGATAGAAAATGGCACCCAAAAAATACAAATAATTTCAACAAATGTCAACTTCAAAATCAGCATGAAGTTGGGGTTGGGGAGGGGAAATCATACTAGAAATATGGTCACTGCTTAGGTATTTCTGCCTTTCTAAGCAGATTATAAAGAAAAGAGTTTTTCTACAGAACAATAATTTAACTATACTTATAAAACCTTCTCCAAATCAATAAATATTGACATACCATTTTTCTTAATTTTTTCCAACAGAAGCTAAAATATCTCCCTATGGATTTAGGTTCAGTCCTGGCCTCTGGCCAAAGGGCCTTTTCAGTCTTGGGACAAAAGTGTCTTTAGAGGGTAACCTCAAGCAAGAGTCTCCTCAGGCGTTAGCTTCCTCCTAGGAAACAAGAATTGGATTCCCAGGGGTTCCCAAACTGGACATCATTGTTACCAATGACAAATGCTCACTTAGCACTTGCTATGTGCAAGGTACTATACTATAGGCATTACTATAAATCCCCATTTTATAGGTGGAGAAAGTGAGGCACAGCAAGGTTGAGTAACTCGCTCATGGGCATATACTGCCTCTCCAACGTCTAAGAATCAGTAGGAGTCCACACTTTTAATTCCTCACTCCCCCAGGGACTGAGATCCAGGTGTTTTTTAAAACCCCATCGTCAGACACTGCTCTAGGCATCAGATCTGCTTTAGTTCTGAGGGTACAGGGAGCAAACAGGAGAATCCAGAGCCCCATCCAGTTCTCAGGAGGGAGGTTGATGCCACCCTCTGACAGCTAATGCAGTAAGGTGGGTATGCTGGGGTTGAAAACAGCCAGATAGGGCTATGCCTACTGGGAACCCAGACTGTCTCTTGTTGCACCAGATTGCCACCTGCTGGCCATAGGTGGCCATCGCAGACCAGGCAGGAAAATAACTCCTGCAACCCCTTCACTAAACAATAAGGGACTACCAAGAGACTACATTGGGCAGGGGGCGGGGGCGGAGGGTTTCAGTGAAGACCCGAGAAAGACAAGCAATGACAATGCCATGACACTGCTGCTTGGTTACACTATGGGAGAGGAGAAGCAGGTAGGGGCAAGATTAGTCTGGATGAGGGCTACTGCGAGAGGGGTCAGTGGAGAAAAATAAATGTAGAGGTTGGTAGGGATCAGATTGGTAGGCCTTAAGAGTTTGGGTTTTGTGCTAAAGGCAATAGGAAATCTGGCAATGAGCCAGATTTAGGTTTTCATGAGGTCATTCTAGCCTTTGTCTGGAATAGTTTGAGTGGAGGCAGAGTCCATTTGGAAACCACTCAAATATTACAGATGAGAGGAGCCGCTGGCCTAGATTAGACGGTAGCTGCAAGGATGGAGAAAACTGACCCATGAGGAATATTTAGGATTAGACTTGATAAAAACAAATGCCAGAGTGTAACAGCAGAAAATCATAGTGGTCCCATTTCATTCCTTCCTTCTTTCAACAAAATGTAGCACCTACTGTGTGACAGAAACTCATCTACCTGCTGAGAATACAGTGGTGTAAGCTAGTCAGGGGAGAGCCCTGCTTTTCATGGAGTTTATGACCGAAACGGGGGAAGGGAGAGGGGACAATCAAATAAGCAAATAAACAACAAAAACAGATGGGACTAAGCACACGTAGAGAACACAGAAGGGATATGTGGTAGTGACTCAGATCTGAATGGTACAGAGCCTTCCCTGTGAAGATGACAGGGAAAGACATTGTCTAGGCCAAAGGAACAAACACAAAAGCAAGAGTCAGTGTAGCTCATTCAAGATCAGGGGCAGCCAGTGTGGCTGGATGTGGTGGGTAAAGGCAAGAGAGGCAGGAAGTAGGAAGTCAGGGGCCAGTTTACAAAGGACTTTGTAAGGCAGCACAAAGAATTCTAAGAGTGAAGGGAAGCCATTGACACATTTTAGACAAGAAAAGTGACAATCAGATTTCACTTAAAGATCTCTCAGGCTGCCCTCTGGAGAATGGATAGTATGGGGCAGAGAAGAGGCAGGTAGGAAACTGAGATGTGAGCCAGGAGAGATGGTGATGGCAGCAGCGTGAAGGGGAGGATAGAGGGCATACTTAGAGTCAGAGTCAACAGGACTTGCTGATGGATTGGACATGGGGGTGAAAAAATAGCAGAACCAAGAATGACTCCCCAAGGCCAGGAGGAGGACAGGATACCTAGACACAGGCAAAAAGGGCCTAAGGATGGCCTTTCCTCAAGGATGTCACATCCCAATAAGCAAAGGCCTGGCCTTAACACTCAGCCCCGCTGGAGGGGGCATGCAAGTGAACCACGCTGAGGCTCGGTTTCCTTACCTATGGCTGGGTCTCGCCTGCCTGGTGCATTGCAAGGACTAAACAGAAGCCTGACACAGATGGATGCTCATGCTGGCCTGGCCTCTGAGCCCACTGAGTTGGACAGTTTTCTCCCAGTGTTGGGAAGTATCTTTCCAGGCAGCCATAGCCCTGCCCCCAACTGGAAGAACACTCAAGGTCAACATCCAATTCTAAGCAGAATCCCCAGAGTAATCACCTCCATCCTCCAAGCCTTGGAACTGGGAGCAACAAGGGAGAGACTTGATCACTCTCAGTACCCTTGAACCAAAGGGAAACGTGGGAACAGGCAGTCACATATGGCAAAACAAATACCAGAAACCAAGAGCTGTGAGCACCATATCACTTTATTTCTTTGATTTTCCAACTTCACTCTTGGACAACGCAAACTCAGTCTCTCTCCTGCCTGGCCTTGTGTGGTCCATCACTGCAGATGGAGCACAGGCTTTAAGGAGAGGCTCAACAGAAAGACAGGGGTCCCCAAGAGCCAGCCAGGCTGGCTGATGACTGCAGGGTCCATGCAGATGGGCCAAGCACCAGCAAGCAGAGACCCAAGGCCCTCTCTCCCAGCCAGGAGATGGGCCAGCCCTCAGCAATCTGGCTCAGGACCTTCCCTTGGAGGCCAGTCTTGGTTCTTCCTATACAGACAGGTCCCTGCTCCCACTCACACTGAGCCTGACACCCTCTCCCTTAGGGGCGCCAGGCAGAAGCCGCTGACCTGCTCCACACTTGATTTCTAATGTTCTTTTGGGAAATCTCTTTGAGTCAGGAGGGTGCCAACCCCCAAAAGGAACTGAAGACATATTCTGCCCAATCGGACAGATGGCCAGGCTACAATACTCCTTTTGTCCCCAGGAAAAGCTGAAAGCAGATTTAGCTAACCAACCCCCCCTTCAGATCCCCACACATACAGCTTCCAACATCAGCAAGGGGGCCCAGCCAACCCACTCAAATCAAAACAAAAACTAAAACCAAGACACAACAATAAAAATAAGAACAGTAAACAACTGAAGAGAACATCTCCGGCCCTGTAGTCTCTGCAGGAGGCCAGACGGCTGACCTCTGGTTCTCTCTGCCCTGGAGCTAGGGAGAAACACAAATCTGCCCTTGGATTCAGGGTAGACACTGTAGGAGCAAAAGGGATCCTGGCCAAGCCAGTGGGCAACTCAGGTCCCTGACCCCCTCCAAAGTGGTCCCCTTCCTCCCAGCCCATCACACCTCCCTGTCAGCCATCGACCAGGGTGAGGCCATCATAGAGGGCACGCTTCCACATGTAGTAGGTAGAGCGGGCAGTGAGGGGAAAGAGAGCACTGAACTCCTTGTAGGAGGGGAAGCTCTTGGACTGAAAGCGCTTCTGCAGGAACAGCTTGGCCTGGGCCTTGAACTTTGTGGTGGCGAGCATGTCCATCACCAGCACCTGGCCGTCTCCGCCACCCACTGCCTCTGCCACCACAGGATGGCTGGTCAGAGACCCACTGGGGGGCCGGCCCTGGGCCGCAGCCCCTTCTTGCAGGGCCCCCTCTCTGGAAGGCCCTCCCAGGGCCTTCCCAGGATCCTCTCCTGAAGAAGCTGCCACCTGTGGGGTCCCTGCAGGTGGGGCCATGACAGCTGTCACATTCCTGCCAGCTTCTTTCTCCTGCTTCTCCTCTGCCTCCTGTATGCCCCCTTTGCCCAAAGTGGGGGCCTGTATATGGAGCTTGGACAGGCCTCTGGGACAACCCCGGGCAAGACTCTTCCAGACCCAAAAGGTGGAGGGTGACAGGCTTGGATAGCGGAGACGGAAGCGACAGAAGGGGAGGTGCCCACTCAGCACCTGCCTGCGGGCTGCCCTGCGCAGACGCCTCTGCCAGCGGGACAGGGGCATCCTCAGAGGCAAGAACTCCCGGGGGGCGGGTGGTCCCCCACCTGTTGCTTTCCCTGCCCCCTCTCCTGCCTCATCCTTGCAAAGGGGTAAGGCCTTCTCCCCAACAGATGCTGGCTGAGGCACCCCGGCCGCTGAGAGGGCTGGTGCTGGCTTGAAGCTGGGGTTCCTTCGGAGGGCCTTTCGGCGCCAGTTGTAGTAGGTGGACCGGGAGATGCCAGGGAACCTGCGTTTGAAGCAGCGATAGGGTACCAGTGTATTCAGGGAGATGCAGTGCTCCAGGTACAACTTGGCCCGCTGCATTAAGACCATTCCAGGGCTTGACGCTGCCGGCGAGGAGCATCCCAGCCCCTCGGTAACCTGCTCCTCCGGCAGCTTCTCCAGCTCCTCCATCGCCAGAGCCTCCTTGGAGGCCAGGGCCTGGCAGGCGCCAGAGCCCACGAGCTCGTGCTTCCAGGCATAATAGGTGGAGCGGGAGATCTCGGGGAACCTCTGGAGGAACTGCTGCAGTGGCACGACGCCCCCGTGGTGGAAGCTGTCCTGCAGGAAGTGCTTGGCTGAGAAGCGGGTGGCTACCTTCTGCCGGTGCTCCTGGGACTGCCGCCGCCAGCGGTAGAAGGTGCTCTTGGTGACACTGTAGCGTTCACAGAGGTGGGAATAGCTGAGGCCGGGTTCCCGGTTGAGCAGCTCCAGGGTCTTGGCAGGCGGGGGCAGCGAGGCCAGGGCTGGAGGAGTCGGGGCCAGCCCAGTGGTGGCACTTTCAACCTCCACCTCCTCCAGCCCCACCACGGGGGCAAAGTACTGGTGGCGGAAGAGGTGGCTGGTGATGGGCTGGCCAGCCCACATGATGTGCAGCGTGGCAGGCATGTGGTCACAGCGGCGGGGCCGAATGACGCGGTTAAAGTAGGGCCGGATCTTGAGGTTGCGCATGGGATAGATGGAGTAGATGTTGCGCTGAAGGACAGAGGCGAGGGCATACAAGTGCCACACGTTGGAGAAGCTGCTAGGAAAGCAGGTGGCCTTGACGTCTGCATCAAAGATGGCCTCTAGCGTGGCAGACGGCAGGCTGGTCATCTCGGGAGACTCCTCAGAGCACAGGGAATAGCGCACAGCCTGCAGCATCACCTTGGAGTCGATCATGCCTTGGAGGTAGTAGTGCCTGTGCAACAGCATCTCCACCACGGTGCGGGCCCGCAGCTCCAGGCTGAGACCTGCGTCGCCCCACAGCAGCATGCTGGCCGCCTCAAACAGCAGGCTGCCCTCACCCTTGCACACCAGCGGCAACATGTTCCGGGGAGCATCCTCTGGATACAGGCTCAGGGCCACTGAGTCCACCTCCAGCACCTGGGGGCCAGGGCCTCCTTCCCGGCAGGTGGGGAAAGCAAAGGAAGACAGGACCTCCTTGGCCTCCAGAGCAGCACCAACAAGACCCTCCAGGCCCTCGGACTCCACTGCCTCCTGCAGCTCCTGCAGCACCTGCTGCACCAGCTGCTCTCGAGATGTCATCCTGCCGAGGCAAAGAAGGGAGGGCAGAGGTCAAGACGAGACGAGGTCCCCATATGATACCCAGCAATGGTGCCTCATCCACTCCTGTGCCTTCTCCCTCAATATAATGCCCATCTACTCCCATTCCCCCACAGCAGATAATGGCTAGGTGCCTCCTGGGGCTTAATTACTCCGTGGTGCTAAGGAAGAGCTTGGTCTTGGAGCCTGGCTTTGAATTCTGGTTCTCACATTAGCTTGAACGAGTCACTCAACCACTCTATGCTTCTGTTAAAATGAGGACAATAATAAAAGTATCTACTTTATAGGATTGCTGTGGATTGCTGTGGGTATAAATGAGACAATGAAAGTAAAGGATGGAGATAAACGGGTATATATGTATCTCCATTCATCCTTAGAAAAGTACCTGGGGTACACAGTAAAGTATTATAGAAGTGGTAGCTATTATACATTAGAGTATCATCTAGTACCGTACGCATTATAGAGTACAGGTATAAAAGCTGTAACTCTGTACCTGTTAAAGACTGACAATCACATACAGCCAAAATTGGTCTGCCTTTCCCTAGAACAGTGATTCTCAAAGTATGTTCCATGGACCCTTGGGGTTCCCTGAGACTTATTCAGAGGGGGTTGCAAGTTAAACCATTTTCATGAAAATACTAAGATACACTAAGATAACAACACTGTGATTTGCCTTTTTCATTGTTTTAACATTTGAGTAAAACTGTAGTACCTTAGCATGAATCGAACTAGAAAGCATTGTTCTTCACCACCGTGTAGTTGCAGTTAGGAAAAAGAAAGCTACTTCACTCAAAAATGTCCTTGATGACGCAACAAAGATTATTACTATTTTCTAATCACAACTCTTAAATACTTGGCTTTTCAATATTGGGAGTGACAAGACAGGGGTACCCAGAGCATCTGCTGTGCACTGAAGCATAATACATGAGTAACAACGGTCTGGGTTGTATGATGAAACTGGCTGCTTTTTCATGGAATATCATCCTTACTTGAAGGAAAGATTGAGAGGCATTAGTCATTTGAACTTGGGTACATTTGGCAGGGATTTTCTCAAAAATGAGTAACATGAGCCTGTCACTTCAAGGAAAACTACTATTTATGGCCAGTGAAAATTTTTGAGCTTTCATTTGAAAATCAAAATTTTGGAAAAACTATATCCACTACAGTGAACTTGACAGCTTCCCAATACCTAAAGATTTTTCTGATGGGATCAGTTGTGACACTAACAAATGTAACTTTTTATATTACTTAATGTGATGGTCAACATTTGGAGATCTGCATCACTTAAATGAATCATATTTCACAAATAACCCATGGGTGGTGCATGGGTAAAAGATCCATTCAAAAGAGAAAAGAAAACAATGGATTTTAATAGTGTACAAAAGTTGCTGGATACTGTTTCAGATTCTGCATTATGACAAAGCTTTGAGGAACCACCACTTGTCAAGTTTTGGTGTAGTTATCAAAGAATATCCACTGAGTTTGGGGTTTCAGAGCACGAGCCACGCGCCCTCCTTATATTGGTGCCTTTACAGAAAAGGCTGCACTTCCCTTCACCACCAAGAAAAAAAAAAAGATATCCACTGGAAAAGCTATCAAAATACTCTTCTTCTGCCCATCTACATGTCTGGATGAAGTTGGATTTTCTCCTTATTCTTCTACCAGAATAATCACAACAGATTGAATGTAGAGGCAGGTGGGAACCTATCTCTTGTCAAACCAGGTAAGTACAAAGATTTGAAAAATTTAAAAGAATGCACTGTCCTCACTAAATTTTTTGTCCTGGAAAAGTTTTGTTGTTTTTTTTTTCTAACAAAAACTATTATTTGCTACTGTGTGACAGGTTTTTTCTTTTTTAATAAATAAGTCTTTTCTAAATGTCTTAATTTTCATTTTGAATGTAACATACATTGACCAGACGTAACCTATAGAAACAAAAGCTCTTCAGAGTTTTTCATTTTTAAGAGCTCACAGGAGTTCTGAGAGCAAAAAGTTTGAGAACTGCTGCCCTGGAACAAAGTCTTTTCAAAGGGGTAGCAGCAGCCTAGCCACTGTGTTGACATAGATCTAATAACTGATTTACTATTTGCCATTGCACTGTCCTAATCCTGGCAGCTGAACTTTAAGATGGATACTACCATTAGCGCCAATTTACAGGTGAAAAAACTGAGACAATCAAAGTTAGGCTCATTTGCCCAATTTGCCCAAGTCCTCACCTAAGTGGTGTAGCCAGGAGTTGAAACCAGATGCTCTTTAAGGCCTGTGATTCATCTACTGCAGTTTAACATGCCAGCCACCTTTCAATACAAACTAATCATCCTAATTACTCGTAGGTTTTCAGTGTTGTATTGCAAAGCAGAGTTATATTCCTCTGTGGGCACTGTTTTTAAATTAAAAAGGAGACCATTATCCTTTCTCAGATTTTTGTTCTCAGAGTTCATTAAATTCCTTTAGATTAGCCTTAGGTTTAAAAATTGTTTGGGTGTATATATTTGTCAACTCATTGAACTGCACACTTGAAAGGGATGTTTTGAATTCTTTCAAGGGAGGTGTTTGAGTGTAAATTATGGTTCAGCAGACTTGAAAAAAGTTTTAAAGAACCAAAGCTGTACCACCATAATTTTACTTGATAATCATAAAAAAGAAAGCTTTTTAAAAACAAGTAATCAGAATCACCTTTAGATAAAATTCCTTGCCTGTAGTGTTTTTTTTTAATGGGTTTATTGTAACAAATCTCGTCTAACCTCTCACCAAATTTCTATTTGCATCACATTATTTGACCCTGGAATTGGGCTTTTAATCTG